AAACAAAACCATGAACAGGTGTGTGATGTTCTTAGTTATAGCAAAATGAAAAAAAAACCCTCATACGATACCACTTGACAACTACAAAGGATGGCTATAAATTAGCAGATAGAAAATAGCAAGTGCTGATAAGGGTAAGTAGAAATTGGAGCCCTCGTGGGAATATAAAAGGATGCAGCTGTTGCAGGGAACAGTTTGGCAGTTCCTCAACAAGCTAAATATAGAATATGACTCAGTAATTCCACTCCTACGCATATACCCCCAAAGAACTGAAAACAGGTAAACACTTGTACGTGTATGTTCTTGGTGGCACTATTCATATAGAGCTGCCCATAAAGATGGAAATGAAAGAAGGGCCTTTCATAGATGAATGGGTAAACTGTGGTATAAAAACTGTAGTGGGGGCTGGGAAGGTGGCTCAGTGGTAGAGCGCTTGCCTTGCATGCATGAGGCCCTGGGTTCGATTCCTCAGCGCCACATAAGCAAAAAAAAATCTCAAAGTGGTGCTGTGGCTCAAGTGGTAGTGCATTAGCCTTGAGCTGAAGAGCTGAGGGACAGCGCCCAGGCCCAGAGTTCAGGCCCCACGACTGGACCCCCCTTCCCCCCAAAAAAAAGAATGCAGAGAAACTGAGTGTGCCTGAGAGAAGAGGGCCTGGCTGGACAATTGGGGTGCAGGCCCCTCCTAGAAAGCTTCCCCTCCCTCCCCACGCCCTGGGTGTTCCGTGTGCAGACCCCACTCCACGTCACCAGGCCCTGGGCAGTCTCACTGTGGCCCTCTGGACATGACGGTCTTGGCCCATTGCTCCTGGGCGTGAACAGAGGTGTGCGGGAATGGACTCCCACTCAGGGGCTGAAGGATGCATGGAGAGCCGTGTAGCCTGCAGCCAGGACGGGGCCTGGGGCTGACCAGGCCCGCGGGCTGTCCAGTGACCTTGGGGTCACGTGGCTTTCTCCCAGAGACCCTCATGAACCCCCGCACAGCTCGACTTAGGACCCACCCGTCTGGAGGAGCTCTGCGGCTCTTCCCTTCAATAATTTTCTGCCTTTTGACTTCTTCCTCTGAGTCCGTGGCCTCTGTCTTCCAGATCCTAGAGACAAAGGAACCCATGCACAGGTTGCAGTTTTTCGGTATGGTACCCATCCTCAGGGAATGTAAAGCGGTAGTCACTTGGGAAATAGCTTGGCAGTTAACTTTTTTACAATAAATGCACAGGGGCTGGGAAGGTGGTTCAGTGGTAGAGTGCTTGCCTTGCAAGCATGAGGCCCTGGGTTCAATTCCTCAGCTCCACATAAGCAGAAAAAGCTGGGAAGTGGCGCTGTGGATCAAGAGCTAGAGCACTAGCCTTGAGCTGAAGAGCTGAGGGACAGCACCCAGGCCTAGAGTTCAGGCTCCATGACCGGCAAAAAAAATAAAAATAAAAATGTATATATATATATATAATAAAGTAAATGTATAATTATTATATGACGTGGCACTTACACTCCTAACCATTTATCCCAGAGAAAGAAAACTCTTTGTCCACACAAAACCTAGCACACAACACCATAGTCTGTAATCCTAGCGACTTAGGAGACTGAGATCTGGATCTCAGTTTGAAGCCAGCCATGGGCAGGAAATTCTGTGAGACGTTCACCTCCAGAAAAAGGCCAGAAGTGGAGCTGTGGCTTAAGTGGAAGAGCAGCAGTCTCAAAACTCAAGAGTCAGAGCCCAACCTGAATTCAAACTCCAGGACCAGGATACACACACACACACAAACCCCCCCCCAAAACCATGACATGGCCAAATTCCTTTGTTGCAATATCTTCAGAAATCACAAGATTCTGTAAATGCATATTTTCTCCTAATTTATCTCTCCAAATTATTTCTCCAAAGGACTAGAGGCCTTCAAAAAAAAATTCTGAATCAGGAGGCTGAGATTTGAGGATCTCAATTAAAAGTCAGCCCAGGTCTCTACCCCACCCCCCAAAAAATCTGTGACTTTTTTTTTTTTT